TAAGATAGAAAATAAAAAATAATGATCAAAATATACAATAATACTTATATTAATAATAAATTTCATCAATCAAACTCAAACACCAAACACAAATAGAAAAATAAAATAAATATTAAAAATTTATTGATATATTATGAAAATAAATATTGATTTACTAGTCAAGGTGCATTTAAGTAGGCTCGGACACCCAATCATAAAAATATATATAGATATATTTATTTATTTTCTTTATATTCACGAGTCTTATCGAGCAGAGTGTATGACTACTCGAGCTCAAATTGATTAATAGGCAAGGCTAAAAATAAAGCTTGGGTTAGTTCATTTAATAAACGAGCTAAACTTAAATGAGTTTTAAACGAGCCGAACTCGAGCTCTTTAGCCCTACGGAAACCTAACTAGTAAGGTAAATTACACTGGCTTCCCTCAAGTAATTAAGAAATTACAATAATTCTATAATTTTGACATAATTAAATTGATTTCTCTTACAATAATGACAACTTTTGGGGTACTAATGGAAGTGAGAAATTTTTTAAATTACTTTAAATATTTTTTATTTAATTATGTATTGATATAAAATCACACAAGTATGCGATCTCTTACCTAATTACCTTAGAAAATGTTACATATAATTTTATTTCTTACCATATTTTGACCTATATGCGTTAATGAATGTGGGTCCCATTACTTTGTATCCAAAAGTGAGAAAAAAAAAGATACAAAATGAAATCATATATAGCATTGCTCAATTGCCTTTATTCTCCTAACCGTTCATATTCAAATATGATGTTTAAATGTGAGGGATGTTTAGACAAAATCATAATTATGGGGCATTTTATTCCAATAAAAAATCACAACATCATTTCTTATCCATTTGATTGACTGACGAAATTTATAGGTGAAAGTATTATGCAAATTTATTTCAAAAGAAACACTTCGTAATTATACGAAATTCTTAATTTAGAGGTAATTTTTGGATGGGCCAACTCCTCTCTAGTTTGAAAATGGACTGGATAGTGATATTGACCTGCAGTATAGGTCTGGCTCTAAATCCATTTCAATGATCTAAACTGTTTACTGTGTAGAGACCGTTGAGTAAATCATCCCTATAAAAAATTATATTAATCGGATATTGGTAGTCACTTAATCAACTTATATTTGTGTCTGTAATTTATTTTCAAAATTATAATTACTGTTGAAAAATCAAAGATCCACCAGAAAAACCTCTTCAAAAATTTTTCCAGTTAGAGATGTTTTTGCCTTTTAATTGGATGATGATGACGATGATGATGATGATGATGATAATAATAATAATAATAATGAAAGAGACAAAGATTTTTCAGATCATACCTCTCTTTCTTATTCTCTCTGTCTATTGCTTTTAAAATAATGTTTGGAGAAATTTGTATTAGTGATAAATTTATCACTCAAAAAACTAGTTTCTATATGTAAGTGTGTGGATGTGTTTTTTTGAATGAATAAATAGGGAAGTCCGCATGTATGCAAGTGTGAGTGTGATAGTCAAAGAGACTAAGTGATTAATTGGTTTGATACAAATATTGATAGAGTGACAAATTTATCACTCATAACATTCATCAGTAATAAATTTGAATAAATTTATTACAGTGATAAATTTACCAGCCTTATTTTTTTTTAGGATAAATTACAAATATGCCCTCTGAGGTTTGCTTAAAGTACAGTTTGCTCTCTGTCACTTGGAAAATTACAAATGCACCATTATCATAATTTTTTATTTAACAAAATTAACTACAAAAAAAATGAAATTCATAATTGCTCTCCTACATAATAACAAAATTATTTAAATTATTTATTGAAACATGTTTCTAATATCATCATGAACTGTTAATTGATTTGATAATTTATTAATAAAATGAGCGATTTGTTATGAAATTAAAAACCCCAGGGGGTGGAATGTAATTTACAAAACTACATGGGTGATTCGTATTTTTTATCAAATCTCAGGGGGTGTATTTGTAATTTACCCCTTTTTTTAATTATTTTTTTTATATCTAAGTGTGAATATGTTTCTTTAAATAAATAAATGAGCGAGGGTGTATGTATGTAAGTATGTGAGGGTGATAGTGAAAAAGAATAAGTGATTAACTGATTTGATATAAATATTGATACAATGATAAATTTATCATTGATAACATTTATCAGTTATAAATCTGGATAAATCTATTATAGTGATAAATTTATTAGTCTTACTTCTTTTTATATGTAAGTGTGAATGTGTTTCTTTGAATGAATAAGTGAGGGAGTGTATATGTATGTAAGTGTGAATGTGATAGTGAAAGAGAGTAAATGATTAACTGGTTTGATAAATATTGATACAATGATAAATTTATTACTACTTCTACTTCTTTTGCATTTATCTTGTTACCACCAAATCCGAGGAGGTATGGAAGAGTAACGTGGTTGAGATGGATGTTGATTTTTCTTGAAAAATTATAGAAAAATTGTTAAAAATCACTACCAAAAAGATATCATTGGAGGTGATTGCCGGTGTTCAGAGACAATGGTCAGAGGTTGTTTCTAACAATCAAAGGTGGTCTTTGGGGGGAGAAGGTGCAGTCATGGCAATGTGAATAATGGAGATGAAAAATGTGAGGATAGGACATTTTGAAGATATTGATAGGTAAAGAATATAATAGGATTTATAAGTAAATTTGGTTAACAGGATCAGCCCACTAGTGCTCCTTACTAAATTTGCAATTATATCTCAAATGTATTTGAAACACAAATTGAAGCCTCGAAAGTTTGGACCTTTTTATTTAGATTGAGTCTCTTAAAAGAAACTTTAGATTGATTTTTTTTATTTTTTTTATTTTTTTTATTTTTATCAATCTTCCCTCAATTAGTACAATAATTACTATAGTTTTGGGCATTTTTGAGGCGCAAAGTAGCTGCTTTAGGGGCTTTGCCCCAAAATCGACCCTGCAGGAAGGGATCATTTACCAGGCCTAGCGAAAGTGGTTTAGCTAGCCAAGTTGGGTGCATTGAGTGGTGGATAGGATGGTCAAGTATAATGACGATTATGAATGCCAAACATTGTGTATTATGCTCTTGAGCTTGTGTTGATTAGATGAATTATAACATATGACTGGAATTATTAATCCATAAGACTCACATTTTATTATTTGGTTGCAAATTTTATTATTCAAATTAGGTTTCAATGACCATTCTATCTAACAAAATTAACAGATTTTTTAATCCTACAAATATATATATATATATCAACAAAAAAACCTTTATTAATGAAATAACTATACAAGTACATAGATATTACATCAATAGAAAGGGGAGAAGGGGCGCAAAAATCATCATAGCAACGCTCAATGATCCCAACTAGATTGGCACCAAATAACATGCCCAATCATATAAGAGCAACCACACGCAATTGGTGAGAAACCAACCAAATTAGAAATAGCTAGGTTCCTAGCAACATCAAAATGACTAACAACAAACCAAGCAATCTATCAAAAGCAAAGAGACCACCAATAACAATGCACAGCAGCTAGCCTCCCCTTACTTGACAATGACTAATCTGGCTAAGGCACTCCACAAGTTCATGAATTGAATAATGCACTTCCGTAAGGTTAGACTTTGCCCATAATGCTACCCTTACCTTCGTAATGGCCCCGTTTGATAGAGTTGTGAAAAAGTGATTATAGATTATAACTTAATAGATTATAGCTTACAACTGTGAACATAAGTTGGTAACTTGTTTGGTGCAGCTGTCGAGTTGTGGATTTAAGCAACATAGTAGTGTTTGGTAAATAATGTAACGCCCTCAAAATAATAACAATAACCCATCAGATAAGGCATGCATTTACATATAAACTAACCACATTCTTTCATTCATTAGAGTTCCATTACATAAGTATTACATGTTAACCTCAAAAATTGTAATTGTCATTTTCTTCACTTTAAATTTTGAAAAAGTTATTTCATTAATAGAAGTTGATATAATTAATACCTAATTTGGTACATTTTTCCATTACCCCATTTTTTTTTTAATTTTTAATTTTTTTTTCTTAAGGTAAATTGCACTGACACCCCCTGAGGTTTATGTTTATTACAGTTCCCTCCTCACCTTTTGGAAATTGCATCTCCCTCATTGAGGTTTAAAGTTTCATTATAGATTTCCCCTCTCAGCAATTTAATTTTTTTAAATACCAATTTTGCCCTCACTGGGTAAATTACATTGACACCCTTCACATTTTAAAAATTATAATCCCCTCCCTAAGGTTTAAAGTAGCATTACCAATTGCCCCCTCGGTTAGTATTAGTTGGAAACAAAATTCATTGAAAAAAAAATTAATTAGAAAAAAAAATTATTTGAAAATAATGAAAGTTTAAACCTCAAGGAGGGAGATATAATTTCCAAAAAGTGAGGGGGAAACTATAATAAACATAAACCTTAGGGGTTGTCAGTGTAATTTACCTTTTTTCTTAATATGGAGTTCACAAGGGAACAAGAAAATGTCATTGCAATAAAAATACAATAAATTACTATTAAGGCAATAAAAATAAAACTTCCTAGATATTTAAAGAACTCCTAATTTCGTCTACAGATTGACATACAAATATTATGTCTCCTCACTTCCATCTCATTGTCACCACCTGCAACATGATTTCCATGGCATGCTTGTTGAGATGAAGATCCTTCCTCTTCATTATGCACATAATCCGTGAATCAATTATAACAGTTAAATACAATATCGCAGAACTCACTTCGTTGGATGAAATTATGAATTGCCATTGTTGCACAAACAAGTTTGACTTGGGTCGACCACTTGTAGTTTGGTGGGATATCCTTTATCATCGGCCATCTTGCTTTCCAAACCCCAAACGTTCTTTCTATTCTTCTAAGTGATAAATGTGCTTGGTTGAATTTTTCTTGTGCATTTTGGGAGGGTTGACCATGTTCAAATTGAGCTAGATGGTATCTTTCTCCTTTGTAAGGTGTAAGATATCCTTTCATGTGCTTGGTTGAATTTTTCTTGTGCATTTTGGGAGGGTTGACCATGTTCAAATTGAGCTAGATGGTATCTTTCTCCTTTGTAAGGTGTAAGATATCCTTTCATGTTTGGATACCCAGCAGCCACCAAGTAAAACTCATCTATTTTAAAATTCCAAAATGAAATTAAAGTAAGCAATTATAAATGTAAAAATAAATGTGAAGATGTGAGTGTGGTGTATCAATATAAAACAGTTACCTCGTTCTGGTTTTGGAAAATTATAACTAGGATTCCTAATTGTATCTAAGAAGATCCGAGTATCGTGTGCACTTCCTTTCGATCCTGGCAAGCAAATGTGAAACATATATCGAAGTCACATACAGCCATTATGCTTTGAGTCGCACACCCCATTGCCATCAATTAAACAAGTTGCTTATCTGAAGATATATATGCTTTGATGTGTGTTCCATTAATTGTTCCAATACAATCCTATTACAAAATTTAGAATAAAAATATATTTATTCATTATTAGAAATATCCTAACAACATTAATTATATGTAACACCCAAGTTCCACTTGTAGTTAATTATTACCTTGAAATGAGGATAGTATCTGTGGTTGCTTCTAATATATAGATGCACATCATTTCTCGGTTGAGGCCTTACCCAATCAATAGACATCATTGTAACAACTTTTAACACCAGCTTGAAGTATTTTGACTTTGTCTCTCCGGAATGTTGAAATCTTTCTTGGACATTTCTGTTTCGAATGTCACCACCAACAATATACAACAATATTGCAACCTGCTCCGGAACCGAGACTTTTTGTCCACTTTGAAGGCCATAGTTATTCTATAACAAATCACACGATTCATAAAATACCTCTCTTTCGATTCGAAAATTTTCAAATATTCTTGTTTGATTCCCTTCTTGTAATTCTACCATCCACTTCTACCCTGTTAGAGAAGATGTCCTACATGGTTCTTTTATCAAATAATTTGCCGCATATGTCACTACAACTATTGTCGTCGTTGCTAAGAGCATATTATTATTTTGTTGGGTTTGAGATGTGCTACCTTCATCTTCAACATCTTCATCATCATGATCATCATTCCATTCATTGTCACCACTATTACTTATCTCCAAAATACCTACCCATTTAAAGGCTTCTTATTTACTATTACAATAATGAAATGAACACACAATAGTACAACTATATTTGAAGCAAGAGAGATGAAAAATTGGTGAACTATTTGTTGAGCTTGTATATTATGCATACTAATTTTATTTATATTTTAGTTTTGTTTATGAATGTATTGTAGTTGTACACTAATTTCGTTTATGAATGTATTTTATTTATATTCATAGGTTCCGTAGATTTTTTTTTATTTTTTTATTTTATAAATTAGAACCAACAACAACATGCAGATGATTACGCCAATCTAAGCCTGAATTTGGAATTGTTTAGTCAGATTTAACAATTATCTTATTAACTTCGGTTATTTAAGGAACATTAATTATGGAAAAAGAAGTGATATACAAAATTGTCATAGGTGTATTGCCAATACCATAGATTCCAAACTCTATAACTAAATAAGATATCTTCACACATAATTGGTCACCAAATTACACCAGGGCAACAAACCAATACCTGAAGAATATGAAAAATTACAAACATAACTCAGAGCTTAAAAATGCCAAACCACATTAAAATACATAACTAATGCACTATTGGAATGCAGAGAAACTGATAAAAATTTAAAGGAAAAAAATTATACCTTGAACTTCAAAATTTGAACTATAAAATTTGAACTAACTTGTGAAGCCAATGCTCCACATATGAACACAACGAACCTGAGCTGTGGGAGAGTCGGAGCTGTGAAAAAGAGAACCAGAGCTTTGGGAACTTTGGGTTTGGCACCAATTCGAAGATGACTTATTCACAAGTATATCTTGAACAAATGATACCAAAAGAGAGATAAAACGTCTGTACATAAATATATATATATATATATATACTTAAAGTCACCTACCATTCATCTTTAGCATTCAAATGAATGCCACCAACCATTCAAATGATAGCCAACTAATAAAACTTGCATATGAGAATAGTAACAATGATAGCCACCTAATAATAATGAATGCCACCTACTATGGGTAACACACTAACCTACAGGAACAACAAAGAAGCAGAAAACAACCAAAACAAGTGGAATTACAACAGAACATAATGCCAAACACTAGCACAACAACTTTGCAGAGCAACATGACAACAGTACACAGCTTAACAGCAGATTTGCATCAAGCTAGTATGACAGAACTGCAATACAGCAGCAAACAACACTAGCATAGCAGAACAGATGCAACACAGCAAACAAGACAACATAGCATAGTAAATAGGACAACACATAAAATAAATACAGCACAGCAAGCAGATGTAGTATAGCAATCAAACCAACAAAGCACATAGCAGCTCAGCCACACTAGCAGCTCAGACCAGCAAAACACAGACCAACAATTCAGACCAGCTCAGCCACACTACTAGAGCAACAAAGCAGGCCAGACAACAAACCAATATCAAATCAGGCTATATGAGAGGGAAGGTAAACAAATCAGGGAACATGAGACCTTAACACAGAAGGAGTGAGATGCCATGAATCCAGAAACTAAGCATTAGCACCATTCTCCTTAAACTTGTTTACAGATAACAACCTAAATCTCACAAAAGATTCAACCTTTCTCACAATAACAGTAGCTGGAGAACAACTAGATGAAAATATCATATCATTTCTCTCTTGTTAAAGACAATAAACAAAGCAAGTAAACACCAATCTCTTAATAGTGGTAGCCAAAGACCATTCACCTACCATTTAACTAATCATGACAGCCACCAAATAATTGAAACTTCCAGCACATTACTCATAAATAAAAGTGGAACATAATAAAAGTCCAACATACTCATAAATAAAATTAATAAAAGTCCAAATACAGGACCAACATACCAGTCCAGAAGTAAAGGTCAAATAACAGTCCAAATAAAGGTCTTAAACATGAAATAATAATAAAATTTAGTATGAATAATAAGACATTTTGCCTTGCTCTTGTTTGATGAACCATCTTAATCTCTAACTGCAGAAATAACAGTCCAAAAGTAACTTTCTTTTTTGCAGAAGACTGTTATTTGGCAGTCCAAAAGTAACTTTCTTAATCTCTAACTGCAGAAGACTGCCATACATGAAACTTTCTTTTTTGCCTTGCTCTTGTTTGATGAACCATCAGTGTTTGATAGACATTTTTTGTTTAAATCAGAAAGATGAACCACCTCTAAATCAATATCATCATGAAATTCAACATCATGTGGGATATGAAATTCCTCCCCTGTCTCATCAGTGTTAGGCATCACCTCTAAGCTAGGGGTGTATGCCCATTCTCCTATAGCAGCTGCATATGAGAATAGTATGTCTAGGTGTTCCATGAATTGCAACGACATACGTCGAAATTTAGCAGCATCAAGATACCTCTACAACAATTACAAAGGAAAATTTAACAATTTGTCCTATTTAAAATTTGGTATGTTTAAAAAAAAAAACAGAATATGTACATTAATCAATTCACTTACCTCCAATTTCTTGGTCCACCACTGATCAGATACAGAGATAGCTCTAGTTAATGTATCACGGCTTAAGCATGTCTCACCCCTTAAAAGATTATTCCATAAAAGCCAATCTTTTTTCAAAACATCCCAATGATTTTTCATTTGTACTCATTGGTATGCTTGTCCAGTCATAGTTTTAAACTTAGTTATCACACTTTCTTACCCAACCCTATCTAAGTGTGTACCAAGTCTGTGTCCAGCCTTCACTTGCTCAACACAAAGGTTAAGAACAATTTCATTTGATTTTGCATCCCAATGAGCCTTAACGGATGGTACTTGATAGGATTCTCCCTTGTTCTTCCTATTTTCATATTGTGTTTCCTCTTGGATACTCATTCTATGAAAGAAAAAATTTTTAAACACATATTCATTCATCATTGCTTGCATTAAAACATAAGATTAGTATAAAATAACCATACATGGCAACTAGGATAGATATATCAACATTCATTGGGTACACAGCGTAACATAAAAACACATGATCTAAAAACCATCTACAATCATTTGAAGAGTAATGCGAGCAAACCCACAAGAAACTGCTTCATGAATGTTAAGGATTGCTCAAGCATTTGATTCTTGACTTATAGTCCTATAGTCTCAATGTTTAGATTTTGATAAACCATTATCTCATTCCTTTGCCTCTCTACCATCGTCACAGGTTTTGGGATACACCACCTCCAAAATCGACAATTTCTCTTCTCACAAATGACATACAGTCTCCCTTTAGATGGCTTGTCAGATTCGGTAACCCTTATGGCAGCTCTTACATCACAATCACATTTCAAAGCCTCATACCTCAAGTCTAAGGTCTCAGCACTGGAAGAATAGTTACTAGAGAATAACATGCCTCTGCATTAATTAGGAAGAATTGAATCCAAATCCTCTAAAATTGATTGGGAAGTTAATTGTATAATACATTTCATTTGTTATTTTCTCATTCAACTTTTATGAAAGATGATCGAAATAATACTTGTCACACAACTATAAGCACACACCTTACATATGAACCAAGAAAAGACCAAAACAATAACACCCATCATCAGAAATGAAGTTAAAAGAAGTTAAATAAAAGTTCATCTTCACCCTACACCCATCTCTCGAATTTATTAATTCCTACACCCATCCTCACCCTTCACAACATCTAATGAACTAAACATTAATTCATTATCATACCAAATTTGTTCAAAATATCACTACAGTCAACATATAAACATTAATTCAAAATATCAAATAAGGTCCATAGTTTGAAATGAGACAGGAATTCATTAATTCATTATAAACTAAAGTCATCATATCAGAACAAACAACATAGTTTGAAATGATACAAAATATAAACATTAATTCATATCATCAATGAACTAGCTAAAGTCCATAGTTTGAAATAAGACAGAGGAATTCAATAAAAATACAGAAATAATCAATAACTAACATATGTTATGTACTTTGGTCTTAAATTCTCATCAAGACAGTCAAGCAAACACCATAACTAGCATATGCTATGAACAACTAGTTTAGTTGCAAAGACAGCTAAACAAAAACAAACCCACTTATCAGCACACCCATGATTTTTAACCATTTGGTTGGCGCCCAAAAACAAAGAACCCCAACTTGAGTTAGAGAAATGAAATTAAAGAAGCAAAATTTATGGTAATTAACTTCTCATCAAAACAATCAAAAACAAAACATTGAACTACCCACTTAGTTACTGAACAAATTAAGACAATTGCAATGCAAAATTATCAAGATTTCCTTCAAATTCTCGCCAACCAAACAGAAAATAAACAAATTGAAAGATAGACAAGAAGAAATACCAAAGAAAGAAAAAAAAAAGAAAAAGAAACCTGAATTCTCGGAGAAGAATAGGGAATTCGAGAAAGGAAAGCAAGAACCCTAGAATTTTTTTTCCTGTATTGTTTTGTTTTATTTAAATTCTTGCAAAATATGGAGGGTATTTAGGGGGTGGGTAAGACTAGGAAGAGAAGGTAACAAAATTTGATGGAGAGCCCTTCGCAAGCCTTGTTTGCTAGAGTATCACACCATTTCACAGTAATTAGAGAGAGAATGGAGAGAGAGAGCGAGAGAGAAAGCTCAGTAACAACTCGCACACATAGAGCAATCAAAAACAAAAACCCCAAATTGATATGTGTGTGTGTATATATATATATCTGTATATAACAAACAAAGGGCATGAAATCTTACCTTTTTGGTGCAGATCAACGGAAAACAAGGACCAAACTGAATGATCAGCTATGATCTTAGAGATGTTTGTGTGTTCATTGTCGGTTGCCAGAAAGGAAATGAGAAGAGGAGAGGAGAGGAACGTGTTAGGGCAACATAGAAGAGGGTTTATATAATGGCATTTTCGTAATTTTTGAAGTTTTAGAGGGGCATTTAAGTCATTTCAGTCCCCCTACTAGCTGTGCGCATAAGTTGTTTCAAATAAACACCCCTCAAGCTGCTTTGGCCCCGAAGCTGAAAATAGCTTCAAATAAGCTATAATATGATAATTTAAGTTGCAACAAACTCAATATTATAGCTCAAATTAAGTTAAAGGCTGAAATAAACAGCTTTTAAGCTACGCCAAACAGGAAATACCAACAAGCTCCTCCACATTAGACTGACAAGCTTTAAACATACATTCATTCCTCAATTTCCACACAAACCAGAGCATTGCCATGGGTACAAGCTTCCAAATCCTAAGCATAAGCTTTTTAAATTTAGCACCCAACCACCAGAGAAGTAGTCCCTCTAAATTAGTAAAAGTGACCAAAATGACATTCCACTACTGCAATAGGCATGACCATACTTTCCAAATCACAGGATAGAGTAGAAAAACATGTTTCACATCTTCAGGCTCATTCTTACATAAGGGGCACACATTTACCATACTGCTATTTAGAATCCCAATACTCCGTAGATTCCCTGTGGCTAACCAACTGAGGAATTGTGCTCTTGAAGGGGCCACATCACACCAGCTCAATTTAGAAATAAGTAGACTAGGCCTTTTATGATTGTCAAACCAGTTCCTAACTTCAGCAATAGTGAATTGACCTGAAGATGATGCATTCCATGTTAATGAATCTTGGTGACCCAAAATTAGCCTTGAAAGTGCACCTAATAAGTCTAACAATCTTCCCAACTCCTCTTTCTCCCCTCAAGCAAATAATTGCCTTCTAAATTCAACTTCCACTCCCTTGTGTTGTCCCTTGAAGTGTCCGTTTGTTGCACACACATACTGATTGTTTCTTATTTTTCAATAGAAAATCTAAACAACTTGGAAAATTCCATTTTTAGTAGTACATCCTTTAGCCACTTGTCCAGCAAGAAATTTATTTTGCTTCCATCTCCTATCACAATCTTAATATTGGTTACAACAAAGTTAAGCAGGTTTGGATTGGAGACTGTCACTGCCAGTATATCTCTCTACATATAAGACTCATTTCCTCTTTATTCCATAGCCGGTAGCCATCTACAACCCACTCATCCATACAATACTTTCTTCTACAGTGCCTCATCTTCAACACCATATCTCTATCACTACTTGGCTAGTAAATGATTATTAACTTCCTTAGTCAATTTGATGCCCAACCCACCTTGATTGTGATGATTGGGTCTTTTCTCTGTCTTTCTTTTTCTTTCTTCTTCACTCCGTTCTCTTTCACTCTCGTTAGGTTTGAAATGTCCAGAAATAATTCTTGAAATTTAAGTCCTTGTTCTAGTTTTGTTCGGTGACGAATCTCACTTGTTTCGGAGGGCGTGAGGTCGAGTCCAGAGTGCTTGGGGATCAAACCAAAAAGTTATGGGTTGCTAGGCCAGGGCCGCACTATAGACCGTCTGGAACTCTCTCTCCGCGCCCTTCTTTTCGGAGAGGACGCAAATTGGGTTCGTGCTACTATAGTTCGGACTCCTGTCACGGTTCTGAATCTAATCTCACAAAGTGCAATGTAAGACTGATAAATCACCACAGAGTCCAAATCCGACAAATCGTTTTGGAAAATCGATTTTAATCAAAAAGCGCCAAACATGGACTGCTTTGCCAGATTTCAGAGTCGCCACCTAAATATTTTGTTTTGGAAAATTTAGGAAACCCTGACTCATGCCAAATGCCATGTGTCCATCATCACCAAAGTTGCCTCGGCTTGGGAACTTGTGTACGAGAGAGGAAAGTTCTGAAATGAGCACCCCCGCTCGCCCG